TTTCTGAGAAATTTCATATTTTTTCAGTAAATCAGTCATTTACAAAATGCAAGTTAAAATATAAAATATTATACACTAGAAAGATACTTAATAGTTGAAATTTAGATTAGTTATTTTGACAATTAAACTAAGCATTTTTTTCATGTATTAGTTATATTGTTATAGGAAATAACCTATATGAAATATACTTTTAGTAATGCCATTGTTAAAACATTTACTTTAGATTATTTTACTTTAAATAAAGATTGTGTTCATAATAAATAACACCTAATGTATAAAACTATATTATATAAATCACATGTCCTTCTAAAAAGATATCTAAGATTTAGACAGAAAATAAATTTTTTCCTTAAAGTATGAATATTAATGTTTTATTCTTTTATCATATTGGTTATTCAGTTATTAGTCAAAAAACTTACCCTAGTTTATTATACAGAAATAAATTAAGATTACAGAAGCCATTATTTGGAACAGATAGCATATGGAAAAGTGTCTAGTAGTACTTTCTATAAGTATACATTGTCTTGGCATGTAGTAGTGAGATACTGTTTTGTCTTTCAATTTGATAAAATGTTGCAGAATCATTTATAAAAATTGCATGCAAAAGTTACATTTTTAAATTTTACAAAATTAAAACTTACTTGACATTCTGATTCTGGTAAATTAAAAAACTGTAAATTTACAACTTGAATTTTATCTTTTAGTGCATCATATAAAAATTCAAACATCAAATAGAATTAAAATTTATGGCATAAAGTATTCTGAAAACATTAGCACTTAAGTATTTTTACATGGAAATTTTTTGTTTTTGAATCATTATATTTTAAAGGTAAAAAAATTTCAATGGGAAAATGAGTTATAAAGAATATTTTCTGCATTGTTGAAATGGAAATATAATTACCATTAATTGATGATGATTTCTTATAGCTTTTTTTATTATTAACTGTTAACCATCAATCAGTTTACAAGACCATGTAACACATTTATTCTTGGTTCATCACTAGTCTAGTATAAAGTTAAAGCTTGTTGTTTAGAATACCTTTAAATCAGTGTGTACCATGCAATTGAGTAGTTTGCTTTGTATATCTAGATCAGTATTTTTCCATTTTGACAAGTTTAAAATTTAGGGCAGACTGAGAGACCACACCACAGCATAAGCTTAACACGTGTAATATTTTTTCAAATTGAAAATGGCTTCTCTTCCTGGAAGTTCTAAATTAGTTTATATGAGAATTTAGAGTGTGAGAAATGTCTAATTTGAGTGGTATGAAGCATATTTTAGTGGCACAAGTTACATAGAAAGTAATTACAGAATGATAAACAAGGCCAGTCAACCTCCTTTAAAACTAACAGCAAAATAAGTAAAAAATAAATATATTAGTGAATCAGTACTGGTTTATGTACTGTACAACATATTAATATGTTGCAAGAAGCCAAGATGTCTTGAATGAACAACAAAAGTTTGTGTTGAATACGCAAAAGAATTATATTATGGTACTCATGTTATATTTCCAAGAATTAGTCTTTCTTTTTAAATGTTTGTATAAAATATCTTTTAATTTTTGAAATAGAAGTTAAACTGTACTCGAGTTTTTATTTGAATTATAATTTAGGCTACCTTTATTACAAGCATAATGATACCTTATGTCTTCAATAAAAGTAAATAAATGTTTCTATGACATATTTTTTTTGCTTTTACAAGTTTCAATATCAATGTTTTAAGGTGTCTTTTACAATATAAGGAGAATTTGAAGAAAAAAAAAATATGTCATAGAAACATTTATTTACTTTTATTGAAGACATAAGGTATCATTATGCTTGTAATAAAGGTAGCCTAAATTATAATTCAAATAAAAACTCGAGTACAGTTTAACTTCTATTTCAAAAATTAAAAGATATTTTATACAAACATTTAAAAAGAAAGACTAATTCTTGGAAATATAACATGAGTACCATAATATAATTCTTTTGCGTATTCAACACAAACTTTTGTTGTTCATTCAAGACATCTTGGCTTCTTGCAACATATTAATATGTTGTACAGTACATAAACCAGTACTGATTCACTAATATATTTATTTTTTACTTATTTTGCTGTTAGTTTTAAAGGAGGTTGACTGGCCTTGTTTATCATTCTGTAATTACTTTCTATGTAACTTGTGCCACTAAAATATGCTTCATACCACTCAAATTAGACATTTCTCACACTCTAAATTCTCATATAAACTAATTTAGAACTTCCAGGAAGAGAAGCCATTTTCAATTTGAAAAAATATTACACGTGTTAAGCTTATGCTGTGGTGTGGTCTCTCAGACTGCCCTAAATTTTAAACTTGTCAAAATGGAAAAATACTGATCTACATATACAAAGCAAACTACTCAATTGCATGGTACACACTGATTTAAAGGTATTCTAAACAACAAGCTTTAACTTTATACTAGACTAGTGATGAACCAAGAATAAATGTGTTACATGGTCTTGTAAACTGATTGATGGTTAACAGTTAATAATAAAAAAAGCTATAAGAAATCATCATCAATTAATGGTAATTATATTTCCATTTCAACAATGCAGAAAATATTCTTTATAACTCATTTTCCCATTGAAATTTTTTTACCTTTAAAATATAATGATTCAAAAACAAAAAATTTCCATGTAAAAATACTTAAGTGCTAATGTTTTCAGAATACTTTATGCCATAAATTTTAATTCTATTTGATGTTTGAATTTTTATATGATGCACTAAAAGATAAAATTCAAGTTGTAAATTTACAATTTTTTAATTTACCAGAATCAGAATGTCAAGTAAGTTTTAATTTTGTAAAATTTAAAAATGTAACTTTTGCATGCAATTTTTATAAATGATTCTGCAACATTTTATCAAATTGAAAGACAAAACAGTATCTCACTACTACATGCCAAGACAATGTATACTTATAGAAAGTACTACTAGACACTTTTCCATATGCTATCTGTTCCAAATAATGGCTTCTGTAATCTTAATTTATTTCTGTATAATAAACTAGGGTAAGTTTTTTGACTAATAACTGAATAACCAATATGATAAAAGAATAAAACATTAATATTCATACTTTAAGGAAAAAATTTATTTTCTGTCTAAATCTTAGATATCTTTTTAGAAGGACATGTGATTTATATAATATAGTTTTATACATTAGGTGTTATTTATTATGAACACAATCTTTATTTAAAGTAAAATAATCTAAAGTAAATGTTTTAACAATGGCATTACTAAAAGTATATTTCATATAGGTTATTTCCTATAACAATATAACTAATACATGAAAAAAATGCTTAGTTTAATTGTCAAAATAACTAATCTAAATTTCAACTATTAAGTATCTTTCTAGTGTATAATATTTTATATTTTAACTTGCATTTTGTAAATGACTGATTTACTGAAAAAATATGAAATTTCTCAGAAAATGTTTATTAAATTAATAAAAATAAACAACTATCTTTCATTAAAACACTAAAAAAGTTAAAATTAATTTTCATTGTAAATTCTTAAAATATTTTTGAATTCTAAATCTTAATTCACTTCAAATGCAATTAAAAAATATTTATAAATGATAAAAAAAAATAAGGAATAAATTACGAGCAAAGGAAGGCATTGTAAAAAAACTATGAATACTGTATATTATGAAAGTGTAAGTAAACAAAACTTACTTGTTTTTCTCTTTCCCATTGATTAGTTTCTTCCATCATTTGTTGCTCCTAAGATAATGTAAAATCAGAGAACAGATTAGTTATAATTATTATTTATTTCAATTTTTAAAACTTCTTTCTCTGTTAAAATACTGATTAAAATATTTCGAGAGCTAGATTGTGGATAAATTCACTTTTACAGTTACAAAAAAAATCACAATCTATATTAAATTATACAACAAACAAAGTTTTTTAAAACAACAATTTGAAAGAATTTATTGTACATAATAATTTTGTTTATAAACTGATTTTTGTATGATTGTAGATATTTGTATGGTCAAACAAACATCATCTCTCTCAATTTAACATCTACTTCACTTATAAAAACTAAAAATTAACATTAACTTGTTAGTTAAAATTTTTATTACATGATTTGTAAATTTATATGTAAATAAATTGTTATTTCTATTGATATTACAATACATCATTTCAATTAAGGTAACAGTTTTATTCAAATAATAGCTACAGCTATTATTTTAAACTGTGTATTTTCCCTGTGGTTCTTTGTGGTAATTGAGGGTTGTTATTTCCATTGCAAGTATCAGCATGTGTCCATTATTAATGAAGTATTTACATATTTATTTATAAAAAATTAAATTAGATTTTCAAAACAAATTATACTTCAAATGGCAACTGGTATCTTTCTTTATAACGTGTTATTTTCTATACAGCAATAATAATAAAACAAATAGAAAGTATGCATACTTTATATTCTTTGTTTTACATATTTCATTTTCTATAAAATTTGTTTGCATAGTAAACCTATCTATAGTAGTTTATGATTATTTTTTATGTTTACATCATTTCCCTAAGTTTTCGAAATCGTTAAATAGTAGATGCGGCTACTGTTAAAGGGTGATCATTATTTGAATAAAACAGTATTTTAAAAATAGATTCCAATATCTCAAAACAAATGAATTTTGAGAAAAAACATAAAGATAAATAACTTTTTTAAAACATAAGTTCAAGATATACATATAAGTATATATTTTTTGAGTTGTTTAATTAAATGCAATTTCTCACATTTTTAAAAACTGGGAACTTGTAGCAATTTTCAATTTATAAATATATTGACTTAATATTAAAAGAAATTAAAAAAATATTTTATAAGGTATAAAACAGTGTTTTTCAACCTGTGGGTTGTGACCCCCAGGGGGTCGCAAAGCCTTACATGGGGAGTCACGGGTAAAAGAAAAAGACAAGTGTTTGTAGATAGTGTTGCCCACTTTTCAAAATCGCTGATCTGGACGGCAGGTGAGGTTTGTTTGAACAGAAGTTCCTGATGCATGTGCAATGTCATTTTGCAATGCAAATAATGTGAAGTGAATGCCGGTTCTAAATCAGTTACAGTTAGGGACTAGGGAGACTTGGGTAGGAGTAACGTAAGTAGCATAAATTAAGAAAAACAACTAAAGATGATTGGATGGCTCTATTGGATATTGGAGACATGTACGAATTGTGCAAGCAAAGAAAAAAAAAAAGGTCGACAGGTTGCGCATGATATTCCTGGACAAAAAAAATAGTTCACCCAAACAGTGAGTCGATCCCTGGACTGTCTGGGTGGATGGAAACCGGACAGGTGGTAACCCTATTTGTAGGTCCTACACTACAATAAAAAAAAAACTACAATTTCAGTGAGAAAACTGTACCTGTTATTACAGTACAATTGGTTTTTCAATCAATATTTAGGTCTGAACAGAAAGAAAATTAAATACGTAGTTTTTAAAATCACTGATATAGTTTTAATATGGCCCTCGGGGATCACCAGAAGTTTTTAACTTGTAAAGGGATCGCGTATTCAAGAAGGTTGAAAAACACTGGTATAAAAATTTCTAGAGAAATTAAAATATTTTTATTCATATTTAATTTTTATTTCATTATCCTCATTCTACTTTATCAAGGAGAAAGTAACAAAAAATAAAATTTCCAAATATTGTTGAATGCACTTATAATAATAATTATCATGTTCCCCCAAATTAAAATACATTATGAAATGTTGATTATTGTAACCAGAGTTTCTGTTTTAATAATTGTTTTGTGATAATTTTCAACATTAAAAATTTATATTTATGTAAAAATGTAATTAATATAAAAAATAAATCACTATAAATTAAAAAAAATTATCATAGTTATGACATATTATTTTAAGTAAATTGAAAATTTTTAGACAAAACCACATACTTGTCTAATAATTTCTGTCTCTTCATCTTCACGATCAATTGAGGAAAGAGAAAGAGCAGATTTCATTATGTCTTCGATTTCTTCTGGTTCATAACCATCGCAGATTATGAGCTGAATCACGCTACCTGCATTACGAAGAGCGTGGACAGCTTCTTGATGAGAAACTCCCAAAAGTGAAGTACCATTCACCTTTAAAGAATTAACACATTTTAAAATATTTAATTAAAAGTAAAACAATAATTAAAAATATATGTACAATATGAAACTACTGCCAACAAATATATAAACTAACAAAATTTGGCAGTATTGATTTTGGTATTTCAATTTGTAATTTATTTACAAGATTTTTATTGATGATTAAATTATTAACACACACACACACTTCATTACATAAATAAAAGTGGAAAAAGTTTTAATCATTTACTTTATCACACAAAATATTATTTGTTTTAATGACAAATTTATTTACAACAAAATATTTGTAATATTTAAAATTTTACTTCTGTATTTAAAAATATTTCAAATTTAATACCATAAATTATTAACTTACATACAACAATATAAAATATAAGCTTCTAATTTTTTCACACAACTCATAATGAAATAATTGAACTTCTGTATAACAAATTTCTTCCAGAAAAGGTGGATAATTTATTAAATAAATTTTCCATTTAATGAGTTTTTTTTATCAGTAATAACATATTTTTGACATTCTATAAAAAAATTTGTCATAAAGAAAAATCCATTATATGGAACTTCATAATATGGAAGTTAACATTATTTGTTATCTACAAATTTAAAACTATTATTTTTAACTATAATAATCAGAAAAATTGATAAAATGATAAATATAAATAAAAATATTCTGACAAAACTTTAATAATTAAAAAACAAAAATACTCAATTAATTTTTAAAATTTTGTATTTGGTCATTATAGACTTTGTATAGAAAAAAAATTTTTAATATTATTTCTAAAAACAGAAAAAACCTTGAAATCTTTTTTAGTTTTATAAATTTTGCACATTTTATAATTCTGTTACCAAGAAAATTTAAATTTATAAAATAAGTCATAAACACACGTTCCTTGAAATACGCATACTCATCTCACCTTATTACTTTTATTTATTATAAAAATAATTTTGTTATATGACAAAAATACAGTTTAGGCTATTGGATGAGAAATAAACTGATGGAAACTGCATTATACATTATTACTGATAAAATATATATATTAAAAAAGAAAAATGTTTTGTTTTACCTCAATTAATCTCATTCCTGGTTTCAATCTTCCATCTCTTGCAGCAGCACCATTACTATTTATCTGAAAATTTAACATTATGTAAAATATATTTGAATATTTTCTTCATATTTCTTCACTTAAACTACATTACTAGAGGAAATTGTTAAAATTTTATAAAATTTAGTTATAACTATTTTTATGAAAAAGAAATTCAAACTGGAAAAATAATCAAACAATATCATGCACACAACCGTTTAACTTTCCAGCACAAATTTAATAATTGGACAAATGTTTTTTTTAAGCTGCTTTACAGATCAACTTCAGGTCTACCTATACATTAATTTTTTTTTTTGTTCTATTTCTGGAACATTTGAATATTGAAACCTGAAGTTGATCTGTAAAGCAGCTTGAAAATATCTGTCCAATTATAAATTGCATTATAAACCTACTGACCAGTGTCAGTAACACATAGACATTGTATGAATATGTTACCGATACCAGTCAGTAGCTTTAAAGTGTGATTTATGTCATCCAGTGTAACATGTTCTTTTTCATTTACTCAATTATTAAATTTGTGCTGGAAAGTGAAAAAGTTATTTGTATGATATTGTATAACTATTTTTTTTCTATAAACATAATATATGGTATAGAAGAGACAAGTTTATTTTATATATTATTCTTGTTCTTATGTGAGGATCCAGAGGCTATGTTTTTTATATAATTTTAGTGACAATATATATTTAGAAACTTCCCCTTTTACCGTCCGTTTTCCTGCCAGACTTAACTGTCAACAAGTCTTCCCCTCACAATGATTTGCGAAATTATCGCAATTATGTGAGAAAGTTGACACAAATTTTTTCTAAAGGAAAAATTTAAAACAATAAAAAAAAATACGAAACCTTGAATCAACTTTGTCTACCTTTCATTGGTCAGCTATGACACCTTTGACGTATCATCACTACCAAACAAATGGTCACATGATCAGATTCCCACACTAAATTCCTTTATAACACAAGTGCACCCATAGTTGGGGTTGCACTGGAATAGATTTAACTTGTGAATTTTTTCCCCTGGACACCCCATCCAGATATGGCCACCCGGACTAGATTGATCCACAATTGGTTTGTGACCATCAAACAAACAGGATCTGAAACAATTGAGTTACAAGGTATTATACTTTAGATTGTAAACTCTCTCTCTCTTGATTGAATATAGCCTAGGCCAGTGTTTCTCAACCTCTAATGAATAGTCACCCCCTTCAACATAGTATCGCCCCCTTCACTACAAAATTCTGATGCCGAGGGACAGGGCTAACGCCAAATTTGTACTGCATTGAATAGACTTGTGACTAGTATAATGTTATTTAGTATAATAAATTCAGTGGCTGAAAACGTTCGACATGTATTTTTTTATGTTTATTTGCTGGAAATTTTGAATTTAGGTGTGATTTGTGAATGTTATTTGTTTAATTATCGTACGATATAACAAATAAAATATCTAAGTATTCTTAATATAATGTTTTACTATATCACCCAGAAAATTGTTTTTCATCCCCAAAATATAAATTGTTACTAATCGCCCCCTTCAACATGGAAAAACGCCCACATGGGGGCGATATCGCCCCCATTGAGAAACACTGGCCTAGGCCAACATTTCTATATAGCCTAGATCATTGACTCCANTTTTTTGATGTTTATTTGCTGGAAATTTTGAATTTAGGTGTGATTTGTGAATGTTATTTGTTTAATTATCGTACGATATAACAAATAAAATATCTAAGTATTCTTAATATAATGTTTTACTATATCACCCAGAAAATTGTTTTTCGCCCCCCAAAATATAAAGTGTTACTAATCGCCCCCTCAACATGGAAAAACGCCCACATGGGGGCGATATCGCCCCCATTGAGAAACACTGGCCTAGGCCAACATTTCTATATAGCCTAGATCATTGACTCCATTGATATTGGCTCAAATACGTGTGCTTGGGAATGCATACAACTAATTGTAATCTGTATATAATGTATCCTATGCTTTATTTTTGCATATTAAATTCTTTAGTTTAGATAACTTGTCCCAGTCTTTTGTTGGAGAACGGTCACCCCACTCACCAAATAGTCTCCTTATTCCACCTTTAATTACAAATTGCAAGTTAGGACACGATAAATTCAATCCTAACTGGTGTCAGTCCTGACAGGAGAGAGAAATTTTAGGAATTTTTCTACCTCCAACCATAACAAACAGAAACAGCCATCCAGTGACAATTGAGCGGCCTTTACCAGGTTGTTGCCGATCAAAGGGGGTTTAAGCCAATATCAATCGACCCCCCTGGCTTATCATACTTGTAATATTCTTTGCACAACTTCTCATAAAACTGTAGCTTTACCCAAAAATTTTAAAAATTTTCTAAATAATCATACCATTCACTTTTATAGATGAATTTTTATCTGTAGAATTTTGATTAAGAAAATATAATTTTAAGAGAAGTTTTGGAATTTAAGAAGTATTGTGTGTATGTGTTTTCTTTTTAAATAAACAAGATTCTAGTATAAAATAATTTCTGATTAAAAAAAAGTAATGTTTTAAAGACAGTAAAATAATTTATTATTTAATTATGTATTTTTTCAAGTAGCAACAGATGAAATAAAGTTTTTAATTTTTTATTAGAAACAGTGATCCTCAATGAACATTGGTGACAAATTTATATAAAATTTATCCATGCAGTTTATCATTATTTGTAATAATACAAATGCAGTCATACTGTAATTAAAATTGCTAATGTTATTAAGCTTACATGTAAAAAATGCTTTAATGGAGCTTAGTACAAAGAAAACAATAGAAGTATGACCATTCTAGTAATCTGTTACTTATGATGAGCAAAAGCTCAAGTGCCAGAACCATCTCTCAGTTTTTCTTTAAAAGCTCCATTAAAGTAATTCTTGCATTTATTAATCATGTGAATTTATCTTTGTGTGATTAAGTATCGTTAATTGCATAAATCTAATCATAATATAAATATTTGAGGACTTTGCTATATTAATTTAAGGGGAGTTTTGAAAGTTTTTTTTTTTTTTGAATTTTTGGAATGTATTTTAAGTCCCCAAATTTTTTCAAATTTTTTGCCCGCACGAAAAAATTTTATCGCGATTATAATTAGCCTTTGATCAGGCTCAATTAAGGCTTAATTGTTTTTTAATGGGAGTTTTTTATCAAATTTATTTCATGGTTCCTAAGTTGCAGTGCACGGATTTTCCTTCGGTAAAGTTATTTAAAGCTAGTTTCTGATATCAAAAACGACCTCCGATAGTTTTTAAATTTTTTTTAATTAATATATTTTATTTTATATAAATTTAATTAATTAGGGGGGTTGGAAATCGCAATAAAATTTTTAATTTTTTAAAAATATAGGCCTAGTTAATAGTCACCCTACTTTAAACCCTTGTCCTCCCAAGACGTCTATGAGAATGCCTCGAGAAATTCGACTCCAGCTGTTATCAAGGTCATCCAGCTGTGTAAACAATGACTCATCAGTGTCAAATTTCACAGAAAGGCGAGACAAAGGAAAATAAAATTTGAAGCTTTTTCTTCAAAATTAATGCATTTCTTTCGTTTTTTTTTCAGTTTTAAGTATTTTTTATGCTTAATTACATTATAATTAAAAACAGGTGGGCGTTAAGAGGTTAATCTTAAGTATAAATTTGCAACAATTTTAATCATTTGAATCTGTCTTTGAGGAATAAAACATTTAATTTTAAAAATGTGTTATATGTATTTTACAAATATTAACACCTTAGAAATGAAACTGTAACATATGATGATGGCATAATTTAATTACAAAAAAGTTAAACTTAGAAAACAAAGAAAATATCCAATCAATAAAGACAAAACAAAATCTCAAATCTATTATTGGATTATTAAAATAACTTTATAGTTATTTACTCGAGAAATGAAAACGCCTTCATCATCTTTATCGAAGGGATTTCCAGGATGACCTCTTGTTCCTCCTTTAATATTCATTCCCAATTTCTCGCCATTCTTTTTCTCTATTGTTAATTCCTATGTAAAGTTTTATAATAAACATTATTTTAAATCTTAAGCAATAACGACTTTTTATCTAATAAATAAACTGTTTTAAATTTACCTGCCAACCTTGAGGTAGGGGATCGTGACTGACGGTTAGAGTCATCTCATATATCGGAGAAAGTAGAGCCATTACAGCTTCTGTATGTGTGGCTGCCTGAATATCAGTGCCATTTACCTAAATAAAATACAAGCAAATTTTATAGCAAGTTTTTAGATAAATTCTGTTACATTTAAATTAGTAGTTACTTTTATAATCCTGTCTCCGACTTTTAATTTCCCTGTTTTTGCAGCAGCACCATCTGGGACGATCTGTTTAAAAAAATCGTCACATATTAATAAAAATAATTTTATTCAAAATAAAGCTTGTTTCATTTTAGCATTTTCAATGCATTTTGACAATAAAAATATGATATTATTGAATTATATCACTTTTATTCTTGTAATAATTATTGCCTACCCGAACATTATTATTGTATATTTACAATATATACATATAATAATTATAATATATAATTATATATATACAAATATATACATATAATTATATTATATATATTTTATCCTTCTGATCTGCAGACACTAAAAGGACCTTTTTCCATATTCACTGTGGGTTTTCGAGATCCATAATGGAGATAACCAGATGTTGATAAAAAAGATCTGACATACCTGAATCAAATCACAAAGACTTCAGAGGTGTCAACCCAAACTTTAATCAAGGTCTTTCAGAACAATAGGCTAACACAATGGTTCCCATAGTGTGTACTGTGACACCCTAGGAAGCCACGGTTTCCTCACAGAGGTGCTGTGAAATATTATAAAATTTTCATAATTTTACTTCTACTTTCAATTCAATGTGATAAGATGGGACAGCTAGCAGACCTGATGTAAATCATTAACTCAGTAATAAAGGTGACACATAGAATCACAAAATGTAAAAAGCCTCATATCATCACAGAAAAACTCATTCTACCGGCTGCTGTAGATATGGTGAACATTATGATCAATGGGCCTGATGGGTAGTAGCTTTCAAAAGTGGTTTTGTCCAATAACACTATCAGCCACAGAATACAGCACATAGCAAAGGACATCCAATGTTCAGTAATTGAAAAATAGAAGGGAAGAAAATTGGGTTGCAGCTGGATGAGGACACAGATAATAATAATGGTGCTCACTTGATTTGTTATGTACAGTTTATAAATAATAATAACATTGTAAAAGACTTTCTCTTCTGTAAAAGTATCACTGCTAGTGCTAAAGCTCACAACTTGTTCAAGATCCTTGATATTTTTATTTCCAAAAATAATTTGGAGTGGAGCAAATGCATTGGTATCTTTACTGATGGTGCTCATTCTATGTCTGGATGTTATAGAGGATTGCAAGCACTTTTTTGAAGAAAACACCCTGATGCATTGTGGACCCATTGCGTTATTCACAGGGAAGCACATGCATCAAAATATCTGCATTGAACCAGAATATGTAGTTCAAGTAGTAAACTTTATAAAAACGGCCACTGAAGGCAAGATTTTTCAAAAAACTATGTGAGGATATGGGATCCAAGCATATGTCTTTCTTGTACTACAGCATTTCGAGAAACATTACCATGAGAGAGCAATGGCTCTCTCGAGGTAATGTTTTGTCTCGTATGTTTGAACTGCAACAGGACATCTATATTTTTCTTAAAGAGGAAGATCACAAGTATGCCGAAAATTTTGTGATTGAAGATTTTTTGGTAAAACTAGCATACTTATGTGATATTTTTGAAAAGCTGAATGTTCTGAATCTCTCCCCACAGGGAAGCAACATGAACCTTTTAAAGTCAATTGAAAAAATTTCAGCTTTTATAAAGAAAATTAAAACTATGGAAAAGAAAAATAAATGAAGACAGAGGAAAGGATGATTCCCCTTGTTGCAACAGTGTTTGACTTCCAATGGAGTTGACTTCTCTCAAGATAGGAACTCTATTTTTTAAGAACATTTATCACAGCTTATCACCTGGTTTTATATTTTCAAAATGATAATATCAAAAAATTTGCATGGATTCAAGATCCATTTAATGCCAGATCTCCATCTAAATTTACTGCTGCAGAAGAAGAGAATCTTATCGAGTTGTCTTATGACAATACGTTGAAAACAAAATTTAGCAGCCTAGAATTAACTGAACTTTGGATATCGGTAAAAGATGAATATCCCTTCTGAGTGGTACAGCTCAGAGAATCTTAATTTCATCTGCAACTTCTTACTTGTGCAAAACTGAGTTTGTCACTGTGATAAAAACTAAGCATTGCACAAAAATCAATGTGGAAAAGGAAATGAGAGTGGCTGTGACCAGACTGATTCCAAGGCTTGAGAAAATGTACAGTGATCAACAGACTCATCCATCCCACTAATTATAATTGAATTGTTCAATTACTTTTTTTTTACCTTAAATATATGTTTGTTTATTTTTTATTTAACATCCTAACTCTTTTAATTTAAAAGATATTGGCTATTTTGCTATTTCACAAATTGTACTTGCTAGGATTTGACATAGGGCACCTTGGGAAAATCTGAATTTAGCAAGGGTGCTGAGAATCAAAAAGTTTGGGAACCACTGGGCTAACATATTTATGCTGTGCATCCATCTTAATTATTATTTTGCTATTTAAAATTTTTATTTGCTAATACTTAAAGCCAGGCTTAAAAGTACAGTATTGTTAATTCTAAGCTATTTTTCTTGTTCCACTGTTGTATATAATATACTAACTTTGAATATAAAAAAGGTTCCAACCCAAAAATATTTAATTAAATGAAGATTAAGAACTAATGTTACATCTTAGAAAAATATAAATGCATATACATCTATATACAGTAGACACCCATATAACATGGTAGATATGTTCTGTTTTATATGAATTCCGTGTTTTATCAGTCACTTAAATACATGAGCCAATCACAGCCCGGCATGTGCGCAGTTTAGTGGCTACGACTGTTTGAAAGGTTTTCTTCCATAAAATTAATAAATTCTAGACTAATTTGATTTAACATTTCCAAATCATGTATAATTTTTGGGAATAATCCATATAAACTATGCTATAAACAAAAAATTGTAGGATTACTTATTGAGTATGCACCATTCAATGACGTCATTGCTTAAGCTTGTTTTCATCACGGAGCAGTGCATCGAATGGCGGGCGTGTGTGTTTTAATAAGTTATTTTTCTACGAAAAATTCGCTGAACTTTGAATACATCATTAATATAAATATAATTTTTATGGCCATTAAATAATAAATGGTTTTTAGTAAGTCCGCTGCTCGTTTAAACTCAATGGTTTGTGCAATATCTGCTATTGATCTAGATTCGACCAATCCTGTCGCGACACGAGTCAGTGATGACGTTCTACCCGTATTATACGAATCTCTTTTAGCATGTTTACACGAATACAATCGCAATTTTTTCACCATAAATCCATATTATACAAACCCATGTTATAGGGGGTTCTACTGTATAAATATACTATAATATGCATTGACCTAATAAAAGGTATATAATGATAAAATATATGAAAACAAACTGCAACAAAATAAATTAAAAACTATGAATTTAAATAAAATAAAATATATTATTTTAAAATGATGGTCATATTTATGAATGACCATTAAAAGTTAAATTTTATAATTGCTAAAAATTTTCTACATGGAATATCTAAACTTAAATAAAGTTATAATGGAATTTTTACCTTAGATATAAATATGCCTGGTTGATTCTTCCCAAAAGGCAAAGAAGAATGATCAACTCCACCAATAATACTAAATCCTAAAGGCCCACCGGCTTTGACTAGTTTTATTTCCTGAAAATAAAATATTTGTATATTCAAAAATCAACTTTTCAAAAACTATATTTTTCAGTCTATAGATTTGAATTGATCAATTTTCACAAATAAAAATAAATTACTACATTATAAATTAAATTATAATGTATGGTATGACTCACTCCATCTGATTTATTAAGAAAGTTGGGGTAAAAAATGTTTTGCTAAATTTTATCCAAAACAATTATTTTCTTTCTTTTAATTCATTCAAATGACATATTCTCTTATCTCAAATAGTTTATTTATTTCTTTATTAACTTTGATGAATTCATTGTCTTATAAAATGCACTCTGAAATTCATTATATAAATACTAAATAAAAGCATAATAAGAATAAATGTATAATGGCCAAAAAGAGATTTGAGAAATTAGAAGATGCTTTCAGAGCTCTCTGTATGTTTTTTTCTCTTTAAACAACAATTATACAAAACAATATACAACACAGCACTTAAACTATAATCAACAAATCTTAAAAACCAAATACTGTCATTTTTAAATTAATTAAAAACCTACTAATGTGAGGTAGGAATAAGGATTTATCACACCAGTGATAATAAGCACAAACACCCAGGTATCAATGGAATACATTTAATAAAACGAGAACGGGTGTACATTAAAAACAATTAAATTAACAATTGACATGAAATAACCAAAATGCATTTCGGACTATCGGAATAGTCCCTCTTCAGTTGGTATACATATATAAAAAGGTCAGATACTTAAAATTATACAAGACACCAACCGTTATAAAGGTATGATCATTAAGCAATAAATGGGTGTAGAGAAGACAGGCTTAAGGTGGCTTCATTATGTTACATGGTAGCTTGACATAAGAGTTACTATTATAAACAGTATTAAAATTAGTGGAATAATAAGGTAATTGTTTTACAAAATAAGTTATATCTACATACCATAACAGTAGTAAGATGGAGTTTGAAGGTGGCATTGCTACAAGATGCAGAGCAGTTATGAGGGAGGTGTGTTACAGGCAACATCTGGAGAACAAGTGGTGACTAACATCTTAATGGCCAACCTTCATTACATCACTTCCTAACCAGATGTTAGTATTAAGACTATGGACTTATTAAGACTTACTATTCCACTAATTTTAATACAGTTTATAATGTGAACTGTGAAATGTATAATGTTACACTGTGAACATGACATATTGAAACGCCCTATCTTATGTGAAGAGCACTAATTGGCAGCTACAGATTAAATTATGAATCATCAAGCTGTGTGACATCTAGGGTTTCTGAAACGGGATCCCGGCTGTTTTTTTACCCCGGGAAATNGACCGAGAAATAAGAAACCCTAGTGACATCAAATTTATTATATAAAGAATTATTTTTAAATAAATTTTATCATGATTATACATTTTAATCTATAAAAAGTGAAACACATTTGACTTTTCATATGCTGTTAACAAATCAAACAATATTTTCTAATGACAATATCTTGAGATCTTACTGTATTTTCATGGATTGTCCAGCATATCAGTCTTATCTGGGGGAGACCATAAAATCAGATATTTTCATATGGTAAAAACTGGCATGCCAGTTTATCCTGGGAAACACCAGAATGCCGGTTTAAGTGAGGTTATACATCCCTCTCTGGAAGGCATATAAAAACAAAAACAAATGAATTTTTATTCTAAAACTGTCAGCATTACATCAAAAACTATGATTATATGTTTAATTTCTTCATTTTGTCTTCTTCCTAATGACATAAAATACTCATGGAATGGTAAAAGTGCTTTTTTTTTTGTTTATTTTATTGTAATTTATTCAAACAGATAAAAATAAACATATTAAATTTCAAACTGTTGAATAATTCTTCTTCAGGTGAAATATACCAAATAACTAACGGAACACAAAATTAGAACGTGAATATTCAAATTAAATTAAACATACGCCTAATGAAAGTTGTTGTGAAGGGCATGCACATTTCGTGCATAGATAATGGCCATTAAAGGTCGGTGTCCATAAACTTTATTATTCACAGGATGCACTGATAACAGGTTCCAGACAAGGTGTTGAGTTACATTCCCAGTGTTAATGCGTTGTTGATGCTTAATATTAAATTTCAGAAATTTCCATTTGCGTGACATTTGAGAAAAAGGTGTTATTTTTAAGGTCAGGGTAAATAATCAGTGCAGCCCATACTGACTTACTACTACTACTACTACCACTACTACTACCACTACTACTACCACTAAGCTGTTAACTATTTAGTTGTCTTGTAAATGTTATAAACTTCCTGATCTTAAGTCAGTCAAATTACAATATTGTTATTTTATTGTACTCAAAAGAATGTTTTCTTTAGCATTTAATTAACAACTAGTTTTGTTAGATCTGATTAATTTTATTTTTTATTCACCAGTTTAATGGGCATGCTTGGTAACCTGGGGTTTCCGACATGCTGGTCTTCCTGGTTATATGCAGCACGCCAGTCAATCTGCAAAAATACAGTAAATGTCGACACAAATGCACTATCCAAATTCTGTAGGAAGGTATGACCTTTCCTTCATATCTATATGTTCTGATCTCTAAATTAAACGTTATTCATATTCATAAACAGTGGCAGATCCAGGAGTACCCAAAGTGGGTTAACTCAAAAATTTTAAATATTTGAATAATTATAAAAACCTTTTTATTAATATATGCAAGACAATTGTATTGTGGAAGGTCCAATAAATCATACTTGTCAACAAATATTTTAAAAACACTTTGAAGTTTGAATTTTTCCAATAGCCCCCTGGAATCTATTGTTCATAAAAACTAATCAAGTAATAACAACTCAAAGCCCAAGAAATATACTATAAATCACCAAATGATCACCTTAATATTGGGCTTTAATTATAGCCCGATATTAAGGCGATCATTTGGTGATTTAAACTAATCAAGTTTCATAATTAAAAATGGAATTAAATTAAATATATTATTTTAAAACTTTTAATGGTCATCTTTATGGATGATCATTAAAAGTTAAACTTTAACTTTATAGTTGCTAAAAAATCAAAAATTTAATAAACAAAAATAAAAATACAAAATTGAATTCTCACACTATAATCATGGAAGTCGCGGAGAGAGAGATTACATTTCCAGTTAAAACATACTACCTCAATATATGTATATATTCTTCTGTATTTCAGATTCTGTGTGAATGTTCTTATCTTTGGTTAGTTCTTCAGCTGCACTTCAATAAACATTTTCTTCTATTTAGAAACTTAGAAATAAATTTTGTATGAACTATGGGAGTTGAATATGGGCGTTAGCCATGGGGAGATGATATGGAATATGTCCTTCTCCTATGGAATTTCGTGGCATACTCCCTGAATGATACTAAAGAATCCCCTTTCTTGATGATTTTCTCCAATGAGAGAATTGTATTATTCCCACATGTTTAGGAAGAGTGAGGAGTTTACAGAGGGGTAACTGGACTGTATGTGACTCAAAATTTGTGAAGATATGGGAAAACAAAAAGGATGTAGAACTTTCGTTGAGAAGGAAGTGAATTTTACCAGTTTCCTTCGTTTTTAACTTAAAATTCTTTCATTTAAATCAGAAATATTATTTCTAACATTTATGGATTTGACATCAAATTTCAATTAATTAGGGGAGTTTGTCACAAAAGTGGGTTCAGAATATCACACTATCATGTGTCAGATTTGTAACAGTTAACGAGATACTGTGCATCTTTCCGACTGGTAGATTGATTGTAGCTGTCTCATTTCCTGGCTGACATGAAACTGGGATCTAATCCTCTCGTATTTTTGCTTATGGGATTGGATGAAGGGTTAGGTTTACCGGTAATACAAACGTGAATACCTATCAGGAACTACTCACTTGCATCAGAAATGCTATTATCCTAATTGAGGAATACCAGAATAACCTCTGATGAGCAATTTATCATGTTTCGACATGGGTCAACAAGTGCATCGGTGAGGGTGCTGACATTTTCAAACCAGTATTAGATAATATGTAGTGTTATTCACACTGGAGCATGTTTCCAATATCATGATAAGCACAAGTCTTTATGTATGTTTTACTTGCAATATATCAGTAATCATTACAAATTTGACATGTTCATAATGATTCTAAACAAAAAGTTCATATCATCTTCCAGAATATTGCAGATTCCTTTTGAATCACTCTGTACAGTTCAGTTTGATAATACAATAGGATGTTGATTATCAAAATTAATTTGTGACATATATAGTTTGCATAATTGAAAATTTGGAGACATGGACTAAGGAAAGAAAACAACCTTGTATACAAGGCAATTTTCTTCTCTGATTGTCTTTTTTTCAATAAATTACTTATTTTCACTTTGACTGCCATCATCAGATAATATATCTTTTATTTATTTGACTCTACAAATATTTTAGCATCTCAAAAACCAGAAAAAGTCTAAAAATAAAACTGAACATAACACTAATCACTGGCATGTGACGACTGGCTAGAAACATACTACGACAGTCAGCAAAAATGACTAAGTGGGCCATTAGCTTGACAAAAGAGGAGGCATGCATCAAAAACCGAGATGGCATTTCCAAGGGGTGATTTTCCTAATTGATAATTCAGATGATCAGAGTTTTCCTTACATAAAAACATTGTTTAGTTCCCAAATTCTGTTGCTGTCATAATATGTACAATTAAGAGCTGAAAGAACATACTTTCAAATCTCAATTACAAGGTTTGATGTGCCTGCTATATTCTTAATTGTACAGGATGAACCAAAAGAAGGTGGACAGTAGGTGGAATAGGGTTTGTATTAGGGTTATACTATAACAATGGTATATATTTAACTTGGTTATGGTTAAAAAATTACATCAGAGATGCCTTTCAAGAAATTAATACACAAAAATACTTGTGAAAAAATGTTCATTGAAGCGTGAAATAGTGAATGTAAACTTCAAAGCTGTGTAAATTATGATGGAAGACAGTTTGAGCATCTGTGTTGATAAAATTGTATTGTATTAGTAAATATAATTGTATATGTAATCTCAAAATTTATATGTATATTTAATCTCAATAAATGTTATCATTTACTGTCCACCTTCTTTTGGTTCACCCTGTACAATACAAATAGTCAAATTTTAAATTAAAGTATGAGAATGCAGCAGTTAAGATTCAGTTAATATGATAATTAACTCAAATATCTGGTCTTCAATATATTCTGGTATTCAATATATGAAATATTGAATTTTTGACTACATTAAATTTGATATACAATTTAACAAATTTTTTTATTTAACTTTTTTTTTTTTTTTTTTTTTTATTTAACTTTTTTTTTAGTAAAGTAATGAACTTAGGTTTATGACTACTGTATAAACAAACAAAAGATTCATTTAGAAATTTACTGGTTAATTTTAACCATTACATCAATTATATTTGATTGTTATAACAACTTTAATATACAGTAGAGTCCCATACAATGCGGGGATTCGTTACGCATTATAGGAAATCGCGTTATCAAAACCTGCATTATCACACAATTTATGAAAGTTTAAACCTTAGTTGAAAAAAAAAATGTATACCTCTGATCGAAAAAATTCGAGGGTGTTGCTTGCTTTATTTACACATTGTACAGGACTCTACTATATAGTAGAACCCAAACTGTCTGAAGTAATGCAAACCGATTCTACCTCAAATAATCGAAAACTCAAATAAAACAGCCATTTTGGATTAAAAATTAACGATATAAAAAATTTATATGGTATCACTTTTAAGTATCTTTTTATATCTTAATGAAATTAAACATACAGTAGAGCATCGATTATCTAACCCCCGATTAACCGTCACATCGGTTAACCGACTGTTCTAGTCGGCAAATTTCAAATGTCCACTAGTGATGTAGCACCATAATATTTGTCTATGTCTTGGCTACTTTAATATTATTTTTGTTAAATTTTTGCATGTTTTAGCTGGCAACACGGCTCGACCATTAAAGGAAAGCCAGTATTTAAATGAGAATTTTCTAATTATGAATGGTTGTTTGTTTTGTGAGCAATAAAATAATTTTAAAATAATTTTTAACGATACAATAGCAACAATTATTATTTTAAAAAAATTTGTTAGGCTAAACATCGATAAAAATTCAGCACGAAGTTGGTTAATAGTGTGAAAACCGAAAGGCCCTGGGTCTAATTTATAATTTTTATTAATAATGTTAAAATATTGTCACCAAATATTACTTCATTTTTGTGAGAAAACTAATGTTTTGGATGTGGGAAAGATAGATAGCAGATGTTACTTCCTTTGAGGAAAGTCCGTACATCCTCTGTTTTTCCCTTATCCGCTAAAAATCTCACTCAGATGGGAACTATCTACCCCTCTTTGATTCCCCTTTCATCCGTTCACATGAACGAGTTTCTAGCAGATGATTGGTCATAAATCCTGAGATATAGGGGAAATTTGTCCAAATTCGAGGAGTTCAGCGACAGATCTGGAAGCGTCCAAACTCCACACATTTTCCTCCTGATGACCAACGCCCTTAGTCGAGTCACTTAGAATAAGTCCAGAGTCGGCACGTAGAAATTATACTTTGATGTTGTGCACATATTGATCTCCCATAAAAAGAAGTAAATGAACTTTATTTTCAAGTGTCCTTTGCCTACAGAGAAGAAGACGAACGACAACTAGAACAGGTTGTATGTTTTATAACGATTTTGTGAGCTCTCTCTCTCGATCGCGCATTGGATAGTATAAGTATAGATATCTTTCGATTTGTATATGATTTGTAGTAGTTCTATCTCTCGTCCATTGATATTTTTGTATGAGTTTATTTTCTTTGTTTTATTAAATTTATTATTTCGTTTTAAATTAAAATGTCTCTTAATTTGACTCCGAATCGGATCTCACTCGCGTGTTTGTCCGCGGAACATAATTGACAAACTGGTGTCAGCCCTGACGAACATCTGGACTTCACAGTTCAGATCTACTAGCGGTTATCGCTCTCCTATGAACTTTTAAGATCGGATCCCTCGATTCGAAACTTTGGAGACAGATTTCGGTTAATCTGTGCCGATTAAGTGTTACAAGAGTACTACTTACTACGTAACCCCGGCTACTCTCACAATAGTGATATACTAATTACATGGGATATCCTAATATACTATACTAGCTGACCCGGCAAACGTTGTTTTGCCATATAAATTATTTCTAGGTAATTTCTAGTGTAGACAAAAAATAACTAACTTATTGTAAGTGTGTAAGGATGTGGTATATGCGTGAAATAGGCATGGAGCGCTGTGAACGATGAGGGAATATAAAAATAACAAATGCCAAACATTATTATTTTTAAGTTATTATAATTTATTCCTTAAAATTATATATCATTAATCAATTACGACAGTAACACTAACAAACAATATCAATTTCTTAATGCTATAGCGTGAACAATATTTTTTGTTAGCCCATCTTTAGCTAACACAAACAAACTGGATGGTTTACCCACTCGAGAGCATGCCACGTATAATTGTCCGTGTGAAAAACATGGTGTGCTCAAATCTAAGCCACAAATAGACATCGTTTGGCCTTGGGATTTGTTGATAGTCATTGCAAATGCCAATCTAATCGGAAACTGAATACGTTTGAATTGAATTGGCACATCTGTAGGTATAATAGGAATCCGTGGTATTAATATATTTTCACCTCGGAACTTGCCATTTAAAATGCTGGCTTCGATAACGTTTTTCATTAATTTTTGAATGACTAATCGCGTACCGTTGCACAGCCGTGGCGGGTTCAAATTACGAAGCAAGATAATCGGAGATCCAACCTTCAATTGTAAATTATGCGGTGGCATGCCTGGCAAATCCAGTGAGTTCAAAAACTCTGTGGGAAAATTTACAGCTTCGCTGGCATCGCAAACTGTATCAATAGATTTGTATGATACCAAGTTCCCTGGCAACAACTGTTGTATCTTCAGATTTAAATTGTCAACGTCTACATTTTTTGCCGCTAAAATTGCTCTTTCTGCAAGCCACTCATGATTTATGTACTGTGTGTGTACATCGGGAAATATTTGTTCAATGAGAGTATCTTGCGAATCAGCGATTGTGCAGAAATCGGTCGGTAATTTTACGTATCCAGTTTCATCTATAGCAACTTTTCCATCACCGATATTTAAGAGTTGTTTTGAGAATGTTTCAGCGGATGGATCTTGAAGCATTTGAACGCGCATATTTACTTTCAGCTGTACTTTTTCAACATTACGCCACAATGGAGATGATTTTAAGCAAGCGTTGATCTCATCAGCGTATGTTGAACGTGGAATGACGGGAAGTGTTTGTCTGAAATCTCCTGAAAGGACCAACAGAGTGCCACCAAATAGTTTGTCGTTGTTTTTAATATCTTTCAATGTCCTGTTCAACGCCTCAAGCGAATGTTTGTGTGCCATAGTACATTCATCCCAGATGATAATTTTACACTGTATCAGCACGGTGGCCATGGACGATTGTTTTTTAATGTTGCATACTGCGTCAGGGTTATTTTGAATATTTAGTGGCAGCTTAAATACTGAATGAGCTGTTCTGCCTCCATCCAATAAAGTTGCCGCAATGCCCGATGATGCAACGGCCAATGCGATGCCATTATTTGATCGTATTTCAGCAAGAATTAGCGAAATAAGGAATGTTTTGCCAGTTCCACCCGGTGCATCCAAAAAGAAGAACCCACCTTGTCCTGCTGAAACTGCGAGCATAATGCGGTCATAAATGGTTCTTTGTTCGTCATTCATTAGTTTAAAAAAAATGTTAAGGGTGAACAACCGTTATCACTTAGGGGTATGAAAAATAGATAGTAGCCGATTCTCAGACCTACTGAATATGCATATAAAATTTGGTAAAAATCGGTAAAGCCGTTTCGGAAGAGTAAGGTAACTAACATTGTGACAGGAGAATTTTATATATAAGATTAATAATGTATTTTTTCATTTTTTTCGGTTATCTGATTTTTTCAGTTATCCGAACAACCTGAGTCCCCAATTGAGTTGGATAATCGATGCTCTACTGTATATAAAAACACACAATTTTTATATCACTTATTATACAGCTAATATGTTCAATAGGAATAAAAATGTGTACTACAGTGTTTACATTTTAATATGAATGGTTTGCTAAACAATAAAATGTAATACTTTTATAATAAATAAATCATTTTATAATACTTGTTACCATTTTAAACTTTCTTTTATGAATTACAGTTTGAATTTATAATTGGATACAAGTCATACAATGTAGTGGATTATGTACTGATTTTGCAATTTATTATGAAGTATTTAAATACAGTAGAACCTCCATTATCCGGACCTCCATTATCCGGATTTTCGATTATCCGGATTGTTCAAAATAAACAAAAATTTTACGAATTTGCTGATTCGCACTTGGCGAATTACGACACTGTTTATGTACGTGATGGAATGCATAACTTTTTTTGTTTCAACAACGTCTCACCTGGCACAGTGGTCGTAAACTCTTAAATATATTTTACGTAGTAATAAAAATATAACTTGACATACGTATTTATAAATAATTTATATTCAAATTACATCATTTCTATGACCAAGGGCGGCGTAAGGCATGGACGACGTGGGCCACCGCCTATGCCTCGCGGTCCGAAGGGCCTCGCGCCTCGAAGGTTTATGCATTACTTAAAAGCCGCGAACGCGACGAAAAAATTTTACTCGTCATAAAACGATAAATAGTTTGTCAAATTTTTATTCATAAAAATGCAGTTTCAACTGCTTTTTATTTTATAAAATCCGTCTTCTTGCGCCACCAGAGGGCCTTTTAAACAATAGGTAGTCTGTTAGCGTTGGTCAGTAGTAGTCCAAATTCAATACGAACGTTTGTTTCTTGAAAATTTGATCACGATTTAAATACAGTATTTACTTTTAATATTACCGATATGTCATCGAAAAGAAAACGTGTTGTATTATCATTAAAAGACAAATTAAAGTATTTGTTTCGATTATCCGGATTTTTCCTTATCCGGACTACCTTCATCCCCAATTAGTCCAAATAATCGAGGTTCTACTGTAGTTTTTTCCTTTGTCCAAAGCCATCAAGAGTACTTTATAAAAATACGAAAAAAATTTGTGCACCAAAACATTTTACTGTAATTATATTTGTACATTTTCTTTGACTAAATTATTATTTTAAAAATAAATTTCTTAAATCTTGTTTAATTTTTCTACTTATATATTTCTAGTTAATTTTCATATCTACTAGTATTAATATGCTTTTGGTTTAGCAATTAGTATCAACAAATATTTGACACTTATACAGTTTAAGATACTTAAAGTTCCATGTGTAATTAAAAAACAAAAGCTGAGACAGTACCTTCTAAATTGCATATTAATGTCATTTTTAGTACCGTTTCAATTTTACTTTAGTTAACACAAAGTTTTGAACTTGTAGATTATAACTGGCACAGGTTACCAACATGAAAATACAATATCTATTTTCCAAATATAATTATTATTAAAACACAGTTAAAATGTTATTAACACATAAATAATGGCAGAAAAAAAAAAAGTTTTTTGACATTCTATATTGTGTTAACCACTTGATCTTTTGTTGAGATCTGGATTTATTTGCAACCAATTGCTAAACAACTACCTGGTATAAATAATTCTATATAAAACAAATAAGATGATCACTTGGAAAATTGTACCCATTTGTGTATTGCATTTGTATAAGTCAATGAACCTGGACAATTTGAATTAGACCAGTCTTGGTAACTAGTTTGTTGTGTCCTTACAAGTTTAATCAAGTTGTCAGCATTTTTGTCTTCTATATGAGTGTTTAAAATGAATAAGCAAATGAAAAATCCCACTATTTGTGAAATATGATCTGTCATTCTATTTGTTAATGCAAAAATAAATATGCAACCATGTGAGATTCATTGTCAAATTGAGGAAGTTTATGAAGATAATGTTATGGAAAAATGAACAGTATGATGATGGTGTTTAAAGTTTAATGTGAAAAAATACAACTTTTATGTCTATGTTGATATATAAACTGGGCATCTGTGATATTACATGTGATTTGCTGCAGTCTGTCAACAAATTTGTCAAATAGTATCAAAGACAGATACTTGGTAAAATCATCACATTTTACCTCAAGAAATAGAAATTTGTGCAAGATAGGTACTATACAAAATATGGGGCTGCAGTGTCTGTTTTGAATTGAATTCAAGGAAAGGAGATAAATATCTGACACACATTGTTACATGGAATAAAACTTGAGTTTCCTTATTTATGCCAAAGAATATATACAAATCAAGTTAACTGAATAACCTTTGTTCAACCAAAGAACTTTCAAGTAAACACTTTCACCTCAAAAATTCATAGAACAACTGTCTTCTAAACCCAAAATGGTCTGCTCTTCATCAAGTTCATATCCGAAGGAGTCACAATAGACACTGAAGTGATTGCAACAGGCTATTAAAATCATGTAAGAGGTCTACTGTCTAGAGATGTTATCCTCCTTCACGGACAATATGCAATCATACATTGCTGAGAAAATAAAATAACTTGAAAGTTTCAAATGGGAAGTTTTGATCCATTTACCTTATTGCCAGACATGCCCTCAATGACTTTCATCTTTTGATGAAGTTGAAGAAATTTTCGGGAAAAATGAACTTTGTGAGTTAAGATAGCAGCCAATATATTTCTGAATGAATTGGCAATGAAGATTATGACAAGGGAATACAAAACTTGTCACATGGCATGACAAAAGCCTAAATGACAAGGAAAAATAGGTTATGATATGTAGATGTAAAATATAAAAATAAAATATTTCAATAAAGTTTTTTGGTTATTTTTTAATTCTAAAATGATACTACTTTCCAAATAATATTATATGCTTAAAAATTAAACAATGTCCTTGTTGGACCTCTGTGGCTCAAGAAATTCATAATAGTAAGAGTAATATTTACAAGTTTAATGTACTTTAATTTTTTACTGTACTATATTAATTACTTTCAATTGATTTTTTCAATAAAATAATTTTTTCTCATCCAGTACGTGTAAATTTTGTTATAACTTTCCTTTAATTTTAACTTATGTTAATTACATAAGAAAATTTCTCTTAATTTTGGATTTTTCTGCATAAGTCAAAAACTTGTTCCATTTGTATGACTATAAATTTATGGAATATATTCTAACAAATTTTAATCTGTTTATACAAAATAATTAGTCTTAATTTACATGTCTTTTTATGTGCACAATTCCAACTTAAATTAAAATTATGATGTACAGTACATTAAAATACATGATATTCAAAAACAATAAATATTATGAACTGACTTACCTCTTGACAAGATGGAAGCACAAGTTGATTATTGGTCACTCTAGTGGTGGTAGTTTCTGTGAATGTTGTCCTAGTAATAACTTCTGTAATTTTTCCCAATTCTTTTGGACAAGGGGGAAAATTGGGACTTAATTGTACATATGGTTCTGGTTGTTGGATAGTTACAGTAACAAGAGGTCCCCGATGCCTCATGGCAGAATCTTCAGACACTGACTGTACAAGAGAATCAAGTGGTGACTTTGACACAACACTAGTCTTTTCGGAAGAACCGACAGGTCTGTATGTCTGGACGGAATTAGATGGTATGGCAACCGGAATGCTATTCACCTGCGAATGTGCCGATGTAGTGGTGGTTTGGTTTTCAAGACTTCCAGTATAGGAACAGTGTTGTGGTCTGTATAAATGACATGCCTCCAAAGAGTTCTGTTGAGAAGAGTTTGTCGTCACGCTCTTGGTCGTCGATAGTGTAGAAGTAGTCGTGGCTGCCGTAGCAGAAGATATAGGTGGATAGTTAGATGTGGTAACTTTCAGCGGATTAGATGTGACTGTGATTGGCTCATTTCTTAAACCAGGTAACTTCGTATAAATGGAATACATTGGCTTCTTATCCGAATATCCGGTGTACGATGGCCTGTTTGCCAAATAGGAATCTGTTGAATAAACTCCAGAATATGGTCTTGGTAATCCGACTGGCTTTGTTTTATTTAACAGTGTTATTCCAGATTCAGATACACTGTCTTTTCTAGCTGGGTTATTTCCCTTGTAGTACAAAAAGAGAAAATATTTTAGCTCTACATTTTAAAATCTCAAGCTCTAATATTTTTTAATTTTTAGTATTTTCTTATATATTTTATAAATAATTATTTACATTTAAGTAAACATCAATAATGAAAGGAACATTTAATTATTAAAATTTTTCTTATAAAAGTAAACAAATTATCATTATACATTAGTCTGTAATAAATTACTAATAATAACTGGTTCGTTATAGTAACATTATCCATACAATAGAAATATCATTTAGCATTATCCATTTACATAATATTAAATCACCTGTATTTCATTTATTTGCCAATAATGGATCTTTTTAATTAAAAAAGTAATTACAACAATAATAAAATAAACAAATATTTAAAAGAATATATAAACTCAAAATCTGTATTTTTTGTATTAAGATAACCAACAAATGAAAACAAATTTTATGCATTATTTCTGATGTGTGAAAATACAAGACAGAGTTAATAAGTAAAGTTAGAACCTTTATTGCTGGAAAATAAAAACACAAATAAACTTAAAATAAGTCATTATTTGATGTAATCCCCACTCTTGTCAATTCACTTTCTGCAGTGGTCCACCAACTTCAAGATGTCATTGCAGAAAAAATTTCTGGGAACATATGCAGTCAAAGTATGCACCACGCCTTCGTGGCACCATTGACAGGGAAATGTTGACCATAGTGTATCTTTTGAGGAGCCAAAGACATGGAAAAGAGTGGAGGACTACAGAGAGGGTGGGAAAGAGTTTCAAATCATAATTTCTTTAGTTGCCTCAGATATGAGGTGTCATTTCATTGTGATAAAAAAAATTACCTCTTTTGGCAACATTCCTTGGAACTCTGTTCTGATTGTAGGTTTCAGTGTTTTTAGAAAGTCTCTCACAACATCTGACTATATTGAATGTACCCCGTTTTCATGATAATGTTCTAGAATAGGACCAAAAATAAAATTGGCATTAAAAAAAAAGGTAAAAAGCACTTTTCTTGCAGAGGAAGTCATTTTGAACTTTTCAGATGAAGGGAAAGATGAATGTCTCCACTCCATACTTTATTGTCTTCTAGCTTGTAATGGTGTCCGATTTCTTGTTGCTCATATCAATTCTCTTTAGAAATTCATCCTCTTCTGCCTTAAACCACTGGAGAAATTTTATGCTCAATTGGACAAAGCTCTTCTTGTGCTCTGTTGCAAGTCATTTGAGCATCTACCTGAAACAAACTTTGTTTGTTTGCTTTAATAAGTTATGGCAACCAGTGGCGTATCGTGGGTGTCAGCCACCCGGGGCAGAGGAAAATTTCGGCCCCCCTTATTTAGGTATTTCAATAAAAGACCTAAATTCAGTTTTGTCACAGAATAAGCAATGAAAAATTCAATGGTAGTGCAGTGACCTGTTTAAAACAGTTCTATTGGATATTAGTGATGTATATGAATGCGAATGAATCATACAAGCAAAAACAAATGTCAACAGGTTTCGCATGAATTCCTCGGATGAAAAAGTTACTAGTTCACCCGGCGAGCCGATTCCCGGACTGTCTGGACGATAGCACTATCGTAGGCATGATGAAAGTATAGATTAGAATGTTTCAAATTTTTACAAGATATTATTATTTATTGTGAAATTTTGCCATCCCCTAAAAAGTGCCGCCCCACTATGGTACGCCACTGACGGCAACACAACACTTGGGTGGTCTGCCTAAGGGGATGCCTTCCGAGAGGTCTTTTTAAGGAAAATTGACCCCTATTCAGGCATTACAAATGTGAAGAAAACCCAGAAAACTCCACGTGGCCAGCTTGTCCTGGTGAGGTGAGAACCCATGACCAAACTTCCGGTGTTCAGGGAATGAAACCACTTGGACACTGGCAGGCCCTTGGAGCATACCTTTCAATAGTTGTGGGCATGGATTATGAAATGAATACAGCCAATGCTGATGTTCATGAAAACAGACACTTCACTTATATTAATGTGCCTATCACCCTTGATAAATTTGTCATCTCAATCAACTGTGCCAGAGTGCTTATGATAACCAGTCTGCCAGGACAGAGCTCTTCATCTATGTTTATTTAGCAGGTTCAAAAGTTTAAGGAAATCATGCAGACATTTGTCCATGACAGATCTAACTAAGTCTAACCCTTCGCCTATCAAAAATCAAACAACAGACCGTTGTTTGATTCCAGCATAATTTGATATGGGTAATGACATTTTGTAAAACATGTAGTGTACACAAGTGCCACCTAGCAAAGATAACTATTGGTACTATACATGAGTACATTACAATATACATTCATTCAATATTAACCTTATATACTACGTTATTTTTCTTTAACAGTGCTGCCACCTTATTTATTGACCTCATACATCAGAAACAATGTATAATAATGATGGCAATTCCTTTATTCTACATAATATATTATAATAATTAGAAATGTGCCATGTTAGATATAATATATAAATCAAGATTATATACCATATTCTCAAGTTAACAAAATAAATAACACTTTTCTATGTTTATTTTCTGTCTTGAATGATATATAATCTTGCTTATCTTAAACAATTCAAATATTATCATTATTACATAAATTAACATCTTCACAAATATAGAATTGAAAATTGTAACAAATTTTATGAGCAGATTTTGAAATTGAACAGAATTCACTGATATAGTTTTATAGTATTTCTAATAATTCTAAAAAATTTGTGTTAGAATTTGAAAATTACATATTGGAAAATCTGAAATTTTGTCATAAACTACTACTAATAAAATTTCATGCAAATTAAAGAAAGCAGATACCGTCCAAAATTGTCTTTCTTGGTATAAAATGATTCAATTAATTTCACAGTTTCATGATGACTAAATAAGTGATGGCTAATACCATAAATGACCAAGTGTCATCACATGACGGCATAAAAAAATCCATCCAATTTTGTAATAAAAAAGTTGTATTGGTTTTTGTAATACACAAAAATTCATTATTTATTATATCTTTTTG